TGCTCTTTAATATATATATATATATAGTATAGTTAGGTATACAGTAACTAGAAGTACAAGTAGAGGTTCCACTTCCTATTATGGAGCAAGTATATATATATTAGGTATACAGTAACTAGAAGTACAAGTAGAGGTTCCACTTCCTATATATGGAGCAGTAGAAGAAGAAAGAAGAAAGAAGAAAGGGGAGAAAGAAAGTAATTGATGAGGTGGGGTTGATGAATGATAATAATAATTATAAGTATAATATCTGTCCATGTGAAACAACAAACCCCATCATCAATCGTTTCTGAGAAAGAGCACGCAATTCTTTGGAATTTTATCACTCTATTCAACGCAAATCACAACCTCCTGCAATCATCATGTCTTCTTCTTCTTTCTTCCACCTCTCTTCATCATTATTACGTATTATTCCTCTCTTCTTCTTCTTCTTCTTCTTCTTTTACAATCTACCGCCACAACTACTTTCTTCTTCTTCTTTCTCTTCTAATATTTCAAGAACAAGAAAGAGGAAGAGAAAGAAATATAGGCGACTATTATTCGAGTCTTTAATTCAAGATCCGAGATGAAGATTAATTATCTTTTTGATCTTATCAAGAAGAAAAAACCCTACTTTTATTTTTACTTTTTTTATTTTTATTTTCCATTTCCAGTAACTCTACTACCACTATGAAAATGGGTTAATTTTCTTCTTGGAAAGATTTTACTTTGAATCTTCTCTTCCATCTTTATTCTATCTCTCTCTCTCTCGGGAATTGAAGCATCACGGTCCGACTGTTTCCTACATCAACCATAATATCTATACAAGCACTTTTGAAGGTTTTATCTCTATGGGTTAGATCTTTAAATATTGAATGATGGAATCCAACTAGTATAGCTCGATTTGTTTTGATATGAGTGTTAATTTTAATTTTAGTTTGCTTTCATGAAGATACAATCCTGATCAGCTCTTTCTCTTTCTACTGCTGAATACATATATGTATGTGATTATTATTTTTGTATTTGAGTTCTCTGTGTTTGTTTGTTTTGGAGACTGTATTGGTGCAAGTTTCTGAAAGTTGCAGGAAGTGGTGGAGATCTGAATAATTTCTGCTAAATATATATCATGAGTATGTATGACAATAAATTTTTGTTCTTTGGATGGAGTCGTATATATATATTTCTATTTCCATGTTAATTAATGTAAACATACAAATCAATCCATTTTTGTGAAACTATATCAATCATACTTTCAGCTGGTACATATATATTGAATTAGGGCTTTGATGTGCTTTTTGAAATTCTGACATATGTCTTATCTTATGTATTTATATTAATTTATATTTCTTGAGGAACCCTAATATAGGTAAACTACTACTATACATAATTAATATTGCAAAATAATGATATTAAATAAATAACTTTTTACTTTAGTAAATAGCAACCCTCTATATATATGCTTTTAGATCAATCTTTGTTTTTCTTTCCCCTCCTCCAACTCCAAGTCTTTCTTCTTGCTCATTGAATCAGACCATAAACTTCCTTCTGCACCTACTTTATCTATATATATATAATCAAGCCTCCATAAACTTCTTCTGCCACCTACTATGTAATCTTATAGTATATATATAATATACTATGTGAGTTATATTATGCCTACGGACACTAACGCATTCAGGGTTGCAGAGTTCCCTTATATGAGGTGTGAGAGATATTCAAGGAGCATCTTTGAGTGTAAGATTAGGTGAATGTGACGTAGAGTGTGAGATGGTATGGGATCGAGTGGATAGTGTATTCGTGGTGTGAGTGTGATTGGTGCCTTTTGCGGATAGGAGAACTAGTTCCATTATACGACTCAGGTCGGTATATATATATAAATAAAATATTTCATTGCATCCTTAGAGAAATTGCAGTTTAATTAAGATTCAAGAGCATCTTGATTACCCTTAAATGTGACTAGAGCTTACAAAATAATGGTATAGATCGTCATGTATATATTTAATCTCAGCTCTCTTGATAATTTGCCTTCCGGAAGTTATACTTAAACATATATGAATTAACAAATCTTGTTTGCCATTTTTCATCAGTTGATTCTGTTATTGATGTTTTTGATTTTTTTAAAATTTTTAATTTATTTTGTTATCCTTTCAATTTAATTATAGATTTCATTTTATTATCAAAAAAAAAAAAATTTATAGATTTCATTTTTGTTCAAAGAAACACAGATAAAGTATAGTCATTATATATCGTTTGAGAAAATTCAGGTTTATAAAAACTATCATTACCAAAAACAGAAAAAAAAAAATGCAACCGAATTTACCGATTCTATAAGAAATTAATCTTTTTTTTATCAGCAAATAAATTTCTTAATATTATTAAAAAAGAGAAAACCGGAATAAAGTTTAACTAATTCAACAATTTAACCCAAGACAATAAATTTTCCCAATACACCTAACCTAAGATTTGAATCAGTTAAATAAAACCCGATCAAAAAACAACTATAATAAGTTTAAATTCTTCACTCTTGAGGCAAGAGTAAACAAATAAAACCCACAACATTATGACGAAGCAATAAAACTTTTTACAGCATTCACCCATTTCTTTATTAGAAAATTTGCAAAATGATTTTTAGATCTTCTAATATGAGCAAAACAAATATAGAAATACGACAACATCATCTCATCCAACTTGTTGAACAATTTCCACCATTTCCATGGCCTTTTCTGCTTATGCAACATTCAACCTATTGCATTCTTAGAGTCCAATTCAATTATCAAAGGACAAGATCTCAAAAAGGAGAAAACAAAAATCTAAATAGCTTCAAACAATGTAAACAATTTAGCTTCATTAGAGTCTAATATCTCCACCACTTTGTAAAACATCCAATTAACTACACGTGAAGAATTTCTTAAAACTCCTCGGATACCCGTTAGGCCTGGGTTTCCGATAGCATAACTATCAACATTAAATTTTAAAAAACCATCAGGTGGACTTACTCAGTCTTCCAATAAAGAAACATGACTCTTTCTTGCACCATATCTAACTAATGAAGAGCATACCAACAGTGGGAAAGAGCTCCAATCAGAAAAAGAGAAGCAAAAAGATTTGCATTTAGCTTTTAGAATCTCAAAGCTCTTCATCTTGATAATGCCTAGAAGTTTCAAGGCAACCACATCTTCATTTGAAAAGATAACTATGTTTCTTCTCAACCAAATAGACCGTAGGGAAATAAAAAGAATAGCTCCCAAACGGCAGCCTTCCCATTCAAAGCTAGGAAACTGTTCCACAACCATCCAAGAAGAATTGCGGTGCAAGGAAGAACAATTGAAATTCCCCACCATCTTAAAATTAAGATCCATATATTAAACATCAACGGCAACTAAGCAGGCAATAGTCCACCGTCTCAACTTCTCTCATACATAATGGACATAAGCTTGCATTCAAATCATGAAGAATATTCCTACGAAGTAAGTTGTACTTACAAGGAATTTTATGCAAGAAAAATCTCCAAACAAAAATTGAAATTTTAGCCGGCAGTAAAAAAGACCACAACAATTTACAATTAAAGTCAAGTGCAGTATTTACAATTTTAAAAAAAGTCATTCTTGTCAAAAGTCCAAATGACTCTATCCTCTCTTTCTAGTTTAAGAGCAATACCAGTTAATTATGCAAGAAGTTCCTCCCAAGTAAGCTCTTCAAAGCTCCTTAGATCTCGTAACCAATCAATTTTCCATTTCCAAACGCTTTTTGGAAAGAAATCCGATTTAGAGACAAGTGCTTTGTTGTTATTAGAAATTAATCTTGATGGTATCTATGAAAAAACAAATATATCTTCGTGGTGGTTGGCTAGAAAAAATCTCTAAATTTTATTATGTAACCCTACTTATACATAAATTCTGACAATTACTATAAATATAAAACATGTCATACTACTACCATTATAAATATAAAACATGTCATACTCCTACCATTATACTCTAAGAGATGAATATCATCATATACAGCACTGGTGCTTCAAAAATATAGACATGTCAAAAAAAGAAAAACAGAAAAGCCATATAATGATCGGTTTGGTTTACTCCAATTCAGTTTTTTAAATAACCATTTTCATTCCTTTGTTTTAATAGAGATAGTTCATTGTTTGCAATCCATTTTAGTTTTACTAGAACTCATTTTTACGCCCAAAAAAGTTAAATGGAGTAAAAAATAAAATTCGGTTTGGTTTCAATTCAATTATATTGTTATGGGCAATTTTGATAACTTTGTATTCTCTTTATTTCGTTTATTGGTTAATTCGGTTTAATTTAAAAAACGAGACCGACCAATACACAATCCTATTAAATAGAAGATTTATTTGAGGAAAAAAACAAAAAGTTAAATCGAATAAGAGAAAGGGTAGGGGGAGGCTGTTAGAGAGATGCGAACCAGCCGTTCCCTTGGATGCAAAAATGTTTCTCTGTTACTTTCTTTTTGGGTCATATATTGGGCCTGACTGAAATGATAGCACGGTGGCAACTAAGTCCATTAAAAGGCCTTATGAAAATGGAGCCCACTGGAAAAAATTTTCCTGCACCATTCTTGTGTCTCTTCCCTTTTTTTTTTTTTTATTTATTTCGGTTGAAATAACAATTACCTAAATAAAAATATCTATTATATAATAGAAATATTCTTCCTTAAATAAATTAAATTTGTGAAAACTCGTGGCTATTTAAATTTAAATTTTTTCACTCCTTACATATATGAGAAAACCACACATGATATCTTGAAAATTTAATATTACATTATATATTTCATTTTTAAATATATATTTTTCTAAATTTTCAAAAAAATTTAATAGCATAATAAATTTATTGTAAATTATTATAATTGAGTTGATCTAATTATTCATTTTTATATTAAATTTTATAATCAAATGAGAAATAAAAACATTTAATTAATAAATGTTTAATAAAATTAAAAATTATATTTTAATTCAATTAATTAATTATATTATAGTAGATGGTAAGTCGTTTCGCTTGTTCAAAAAAAAAAAAGAACTTTTAACAAAATTAAAAATAAAAAACAGAGCGAGTAGTAGAGCGGTAGTCTCCAGATCAGACGTCCTTCGTTAACGCTGTCAGCCTGTCACGCTGATTTATTTCAAGTGAAAGATCACAACATTTTTAATATTTCTAATTTTCCATCAACTTTTTCACTTTTTTTTTTTTTTCTTTTCATTTCCTTTTTCGAAACAAAACATTTACGCTGTCCGTCTGTCTCTTTCTCCGGAGCCTGTAACTGGTACCAATTTCCTGTTTCTCTCTCCTGCTTCTCTTTGTGCTTCTGTTATAGCTAGCGAGTGGAAATGAGGTTAGGGTTCTTATTATTAGGTTAATAATTAGGATTAGTTTATGTGCCGGTTGATCCGATAGAGCAGATTAGTTAATTGATTACTTAGGGTTTTGGGTTTTGACATGTCGGGAGCTTCGAATGGTCGCGTCACAATTACTCTTGGGCGCTCTGGTCAGGTATTTATTTATTTTTGAATCTTTTTTTTTTTCTCGTTTGTTTTGGTAATTCGAACTGGGGGTTTTGCTGCTTGTTTTGGTTGATAGTTTTGCTAATACTGTTTGGTTGCCGTGAAAAAAAGAGGAAAAGAAAAATGAACTTGTCTTTCGGAAATATCCGCAGTATTTTCTATAGGAGAGGTTCACAGACGTCTTCTTAAGCTGAGCTTCACGTAACTATTTAGGCTTGTTTGGTTGCCTTTATCTTTTCTTAGTAACAATTTCTTATATTGTAAAGTTGAGTTTTTGTATGCTTTGTGTTTGCCGAATAAAATTTCTCATTCATTTTTCTATTGTATGATTGCATTCACTGGTAAGTCTAATGTCACAGGTGGTAAAGAGATCTGCAACTGTATCAGATGTTGAATATGCTGATCGTCTCTCAAGTGCTGGAAGTGCTGGAAATAAGCGGTCTGTAAGAGATAGATTAGGAAGTAATTTGGACGGTTTCTTGTCTAATGGAAGCGAAGCTAACAACAAACGGTGTGTGTTTTGCTTTCATTTTTTTGTCTTTATTTGATTAGACGTGTGAGAAACAGTGTTGCTTCTCTTCATTTTTAACAATTTCTTACGGATTGGAGTTATAATATTATGCAATTCCTATGTGGCTCCCTCTATTTGAAATAGCTTTCAGGTCACTCATGTTTGAAAATTTCTAATTTTTTATGGATTATTGGAATTATGAATATATGACAGCATTTAAATAGAGTTAGGCAATTTGTGATTGGGTATAAATTGAAACTGGTGTATGTTGTTGATGACCTAATTGCTCTCAGTGTCCTTTTAGAGTCACTAGAGTCTATGTTTCATGGCTTGTTTTTGTGTTCTTACATGTTTTCCAAGGGCATGCTTTTATGATGAGTTGCCTGTGGAGAATGTTATGGTCATACCTTATCTTCTTGTAGGCAAAGAGGCGACAGTTATTTGACCAGCTTGACTGCTAATGGTATGCAAGGTAATAAACTTGCTACTCCAGCAGTGAAATATCATTTATTTCAGTTTTTGGAGAACTGACCCTTGTCTCTCTTATTAAAGATGTTCGCATTGGTAAGGATGATCTTCGATTCAAACTCATGCAAAAAAGTGTATCTAGAAGACCTACTAGCAACTATGATGAGAAAACCATGGACCTCCGAGAAAAGTTATCTAGGACAGTGCAGCCTCCAGGCCCTCCTCTCAGTTCTCTTGATACACGGCAGCGCATGCCTGATCCAAAGGGCTCTGGTATCTTGGGTCGAATTCCTTCCACGAGAAGTGTAGATAATCTGCCACAGGTTGATTTGTCGCGAAATCCTTATAATCCTTGGACTTTGGATCATATAAGAAGGAGATCTCCAGATAGAATTATGGGTAGTTCTAGGGGTCTATCCCCTCCTAGAAATGTTGAAGAATTACAAAGAAGGTCATTTGATGATGCAAGAACAGTTTCATACATGAACAAGGATGTTCTCGATGCTCCAAGGCCTGTTAGTAGTTCTGCAGCTTTCATGACTAAATCTGTGTTGCCTGCAGTATCTTCTAAACCTGCAGCACCTATTATGGCTCAACTAGCTCCACCAAGTGGCATGGTACAAAAGAGCACATATGTGGTATGATTTTATTTACCTTTGTCTTTCATTCACACATTAGTGTGGATGCACCCTAGTTCTATTGTATAGTACAACACTAAGCTGGAAGATTCTCTTTCCCCCATTCCTTTTCTTATTTCCAAATGTTTATTTCCAGAAGTTCTTTTAATCTTTTAATGAAAGTTCTGATTTTCAATAAAGGGATAGGGGATGTTTTTTGGATGCTGTATTTTAAACTATTAAGCTGGATGCATTAGAATATCTACTAAAGAAGAACAAGGTCTCTGGGGCCCTAAAACAGGGGAAAACCAGTTTAGGGGAATGAAAAGTGATCAACAGGTTTTGAAGGGAAAGAATAGATCACTTCTTTGTCAGTTGATGGAAAAGGAGTGTTTCTCTTTTATGAATTTCTTTATGTTGTATGATTGATTTCAGTAGTTGCAGTACCAGGAACCTAGGTGCACTTTTGGTGGCTCATTTCAAGTAACTCTGATCAAACTCTAAGTATGTTAACAGCTTGAATTGAACTTCTATTTCAGTGGTTTTCTGCTGATGGCATGATTTCTACTGAACATTTTTTATAAAGTTTGTACCCTTATGCTTGTTGCTTGATCTGGAATGATTTAGCATTGAATTGCAAGACCCTACTATTTTTTATTCAGCTTTATGCTGGGGCAACGGGATAAAAGAGTTTACGTCTTTTCTTTCATCCCATGAGCACCTGCTTTTGTATGTGTATTTTTTTGGTTTAATTATCAGCTTTACCCATGATCCTGAGCGTGAGCTGAATTTCATTTCAGGTCTCTTGGAATAATGCCTGGAGATTTTACTAATTAAGCTAGTTGGCACCATAACCACATTTATCAACAGCTGTATTTATGACTATACTTTCTGATTCTCTTTTCTACTTTTTCAATAACTGGTTTGCTACCTTCTTTGCTCAGTAGCTCATTATAAATGTTTCTCTGTTGTACTGTAATATTAAGTTCTTAGACATGAACAATTCCACTAGTTCATACTTCTGATGTGCATGGGAGAATCAATTGTTAGCATCTTGTCTGTTTACAATAATCAGAAAAACGTCTGGAAATCTTATTTGTCTGTTTTTGTTATGTAGGCTGAAGAACAACAGACTGTTGAAGGCTTGTTACATTCATTAGGATTGGGGAAATATGCCATTCTTTTCAAGGCTGAAGAGGTAGTTTAGATTTACCCTGCAATGAATTATTGAATGGAATCATGGGAACGGTAAATTTTGTTTCTTTGCTTTTTAATTTCTTACAAATGTGCACATTTTTTGGTGACAAAAAAAAAAATTGTATGCAATTTGTCCACTACAGGACTAAGGTTTGGCTGAATGACTTGTTTTCTTTCTGTTTGGTTTTGTTTGTGGTTCTCTCTCAATCACGAACATGCATACATGCTAAATGCCCAGTACTAAAGTTATAGATAATATAACTGTAAGTGGAAGATTCAAATTTTGAAAACGTCAGAATATTTTTTACCCATATGATAACTTGCCATGTTGTTTTGTTGTTTTTGAGATGCTCACAGGTTATAGGTAATATAACTGCTAATGCATATTAGTTATTTGAAGAAGGATCAGGCATATGTGCCTGTCATCATTCAATTCTTTGCTTTAAGATGCTTTCACTATCTTGTATGTGGAAGCAAACTGCGAAGTCCCTTTGTATGTCACTTTTGATAGCTGGTTTTTCTTGTGAATAGTGAACCTTGTGACTATTGTGGAAATTCACGGTCTGATTGAACCAAACTAGCAAATAGTGCTATTGATCACGTTTTCCTTTTTTCTGATTCACCCGATTCTTAATTTGTGTGATCTATTGAACAGGTGGATATGACTGCATTGAAGCAGATGGGGGAAACTGATCTCAAAGAGCTGGGAATACCTATGGTAATTTTTTCCTCCCTGAGATATCAAAAGGATTTCTTTCACCTATTATATTCTTGAACTCAATTTTATGTTCAGATAATTCTGATAAACATCTAATCTTTGACATTCTGCATGTCATTTTGGGGTGTATTGATTTTTCTTTTTTATTTATTTGCACTGATTTTCTTTAATTCAATTTCATTTCTATGAGATCTGGTGATCAGTAAAATGTAAACATTAAGGGGAACCAATATATCCTTTTATTTATATCCATCTATATAAAAAAAGTTTATCATTCTTCTTGGTGGTAAATTTCAGTGACAAAAATAAGATAATTTTGTCCTTAGTTCAAATTTTGAATTTTCTATTTAATGCAGCAATTCATACTGGCCATTTAGATATATAAAGTGACTAATTGTGAGAGTAGACTTACTGAGTTTTTCTGCCCATTATTTTTTGGGGCATGTCGGAAATTCTTGAGGACAGTAACATTGGGGATTGAATTGAATTCGTGATCCTGCTCTACTAAACGTTCTGCCAAGGACAATTTTTCTTTTCCTAAGCAGTTCACTGACTAAAGTGAAGAATGTGGAATGAGGGCCATAGAGTATAGATGTGGAGGTACCTTGCACTCGCACAGAACTAAAATAGGTTAAAAGTTCAGCTTGAACAAAATCATGATTCTTTTCCTTTTCAGTCAACTAAATCCCTCGTATGATAGTTCACATGTGGTTTCCAAGTTGAAGCAAGAGCTGTGGGCCTTTGGATCACTTCTGCAGGGATATCACAGCACTTCTAATAATTCTTTTTAAATATGTCTGCTGGCTATTATTACTTGTTTTTAGAACAGTTGCTATATAGATGCAGTTTTATCTTTAATGAAAGTGTCTATATTGCAGGGACCAAGAAAAAAGATTCTTCTTGCACTCTTGCCTCGTAACAGAAGACAACCTTAGAGAACTTACTTTCAAAGCCGAGCTATGCTTTGGGGTGGCTCATCTACTATCTTTTCCATGAAGCACCACCCTGCAAAATTTGTTCTCTGAAGGCTCCAGTGAACCAGTAGTCAATTTTTTACGTCTAACAGACAACTCTGTTGGTTAATATTTTGATAGAATCCGGGGAAAATTTTTGAGATGTAGTGTATTACTAATATTGTTAGATTACTTTTCATGTATCGGTTTTTGTTTTACCCTGTATGTTATGTGTACTTGAACCATATCCCTAGAATTTGTTCATGGTGAGATGAAACTGAATGTAAAAAATTAACTTGGATATGAATGCTATGCCAATTTTAGGAGCGGTGAACTGGATTTCTGTTTGTTGTATTATCTGTTGAGGAAAATTATTTTGAGAGATTGTTGAATGGACGGTGAGAATGCGGTGGCAAGAGTATGCTTTTAACAAATTACTGAAATAGATGAAGTATTTCCTCATTCACTATTGTGATATCATAATGATTAACAAAATTCCTCGAAACCGGTAAAAGATTTGTAAATTTAATTGAAGGTGCACTGCGGATGGGCACGTCGGATGCTCCATTAATAAAGTTGTTTCCTTGGCCGTTGCCAGAATCGCCCCATGCCAATGCCCACCAACTGTTCGATGAAAAAGCCAAAAGAGGTGAAATCGTTATGTTGCCCCAGTGCCTTGGATTCTTTGAAGCATGATTTGTGTGAACGATCCGTTGTAAGATTTCTCGCTCTCCTTCTCCCCTATCTCCATTTTTTTAATGTACGCGTTCTTCTTGTTTGTCCTTTTTGATACTCCGACGACCATTCATGCTTTTTAAACAGCAGTTATGCCTCTTTTATATTCAAATGTGAAATTGTGTTCACACTTCCGTACTGGTTTCTGACTTTCTTATCATATGATTATTTTTATGTAAATGATAATCGGTATAGACAAATTTAAGTGTGGCTTCACGTGGATGCAAGTGGGTTTAATTGGATTGGGATTCCTATATTTTGCTTGGGTTTTTTTATCATTAATAATTCAAACAATGTAGAATCAATTTCACTCTATAGCAAAACCAAGTCCCTAACAAATACATAACAGGATTCTAACAGTAGGTAAGTAGGAATTTTGGTCTCGCTGAAGATACATTGCCCTATGATACAGCTAGATAACTACCCCACAGCAAGTTTAGCTTTTCAATTTTTTTACAACTAAATTGGAAGCACAATTTCCTTGTGACTGAACCAGTTCTCTACCTTTTAGGTAAGAGAAATGGTTAATCTTCTTATGCCCAGAAACATCCTATTGAATTTTTCCATTTGCTGACAGAAAATTATTTAATTAGTTAGATATAATATATGTTCTCATGCACATTTTATTTGAGATTTACTATCCTTAATTTCAAGCCAAATTTCATTTACTTATAAATACAAGATACACTATATTTCCTAAGATTTAGAGTGAATAACTATTCAGTTGGCCAAATTAGGTTAGATAATTTTATGGGATGGCAATATCATGTATTCACTACATTTCTGACCATCGTAATAACTTAGCACCCTGCATCTTCATGGTGCGTGTACCATCAATGTCCAAAGTGGCAACCGAGTGAGATGTAGAGTGGCTTCCTGCTAGGTTCATATTCTCTAAATATGTGTCTTTTCAATTTTGCTGCCATTATAGCTAGCAATCATAGGATGCAAGTCACGTTTTTGTCTTTCTTTGCCAAAAAGAAGATGCTGGGATTGGATTTCTCAAAAATAATTTTGTAAATAGAAGCCTTTTGCCTCCTTATTCTCCTCTTTCTATAGAATGAGATCAACTAATTTTGTCAAGGTCAAGATTGTACTACTGTCCATGCTATGCTAGATTTTCACCGGTTTCTTATTAATAAAATACAATTTGGAAAAACTTCTTGTATAGTTACCAGTAATTTAATTATCATAGTTTTCTTGTTTTACTTATGTTTTTCCTGTCCAAGTTATCTAGAAATGTTATTGTTGATAATGAGTCAAAATGGTTGTTAGGTTCTTACAGGGTAGGAGATGAATTTTCCTTGCTCTTTCCGTTGTTAAGGCCTACCCTGATGTGATTGCACATTAAATAACCGATCTTTCGCTGCAACTTCCTTCTTTTTTTTTTTTTTTTTTTTTTCTTAGAAATGTTATCTGTTGAAATAATGAGGTCAAAATGGTTTGTTAGGTTTCTTACGGGTAGGAAGAATGAATTTTCCTTGCTCTTTCCGTTGTTAAGCCTACCTGATGTGATTGTGCACATTAATAACCGATCTTTCGCTGCACACTTCCTTCTATTTTTTTTTTTTTTCTTTTTTGTTTGTTCCACGGCTTAAGTTTTTCATTAATTATTCCTTTGCATTTGCAGTTGTTTTTGGCCAAGGAAAACCTTTTGAATTGAAACACAAACACCGAAGAGCTGCTTGAAATTGTCATAATGTTGACGAAGCATGGAAAACTCTCATGCTTCAGATATGCTATAAAAGTAAAGTTAGCCATATAACATATATACATTTAAACATTCCAAGCACCAATCCTTGCCTTTTTTTTCTTGATTGTGTTCAGATATTCTGGCTGCAATATGAAACAGGTGATGATTTTTTTTTTTTTTTTTTTTTTGTTTGTTCCAGCTTAAGTTTTCATTAATTATTTCTTTGCATTTGCAGTTGTTTTTGGCCAAGGAAAACCTTTGATTGAAACACAAACACCGAAAAGCTGCTGAATTGTCATAATTTGACGAACAGAAACTCTCTGCTTCAGATATGCTATAAAAGTAAGTAGCATATAACATATATACATTTTAACATTCCACAACAATCCTTGCCTTTTTTTCTTGATTGTGTTCATCTGCTGCAATATGAAACAAGTGATGAATTATTTTAGTTGTTCTTACTTGGTCAATCTTGGCATTCTTTGTGGTTTCTTAATATACTTAAAATTCCTTTGGACTTGTCCACAAGTGAAGTAAAATAAATATAGTATGAGAACAAGGCTTTTAATTTTAGGGTTGGCTGATGGTAGGGGCCACCTTTTGATATTCTATGAACACATGGATAAATGAAATGAAATGAGCTAAAAAAATCAATCAACCAACCAACCAACCAACCCACCCACCTAGCCACCATATGCCAATCTTCCTCCCTTTGGTTTCATTTTATTCCACTTATTAGAAATTTAGAATGGAAGAGATGAATTGCTTGATGACAGCATGCCTACTTGGAATTCTTCTCCTAAAGCAAGAAAATGATTTGAATAGACCTGAAAGAAAAAGATAAAAAAGAAAAGAAAAGAAGTGGGAATTGATGAGCATGAGAGATCCATTGGTGGACTTCCTCCACCAATGGAAGATTTGGTTAGAGACAATAGAATAACAACACAATCTAATAGTTTTTAACATTGTCTCTAAAGCTACAAAAAGTGGGGTCCAACTATAACAACTGTCCAACACAAATTCATTTCATATCTATACAATAATATTAATTGATGACTTGATCACCTTAAAATATATGCTTTTAAGCATATTATATAGAGCTTTGCCTGCTCTAAGAAGATATGCCCAGATCTTCTTGAAGACCCTAATTAGTGTATATATGCTTGCATCATTACCCACTTAGTTATATTCCTTTGTTTAGCAACTACTCTCCCTTAGCTCTTTCTATTTTAAAATAGCATTTCCTAAACATGGTCAAGATATAGACACATTTTAAAATTTAATCAAAGCATTCCTTTCTATTTTTTATTATTTAATCATGTGGGTGGAGAGATAATTACAAAGAAGCTTCATATGTGCTGAATAATCACGTTTCTACAGAACTCAAAATTTTATAAACATTGATTAGAGACATTTAGTGGATGGGACTGGGTACCCACAGCTATGATTTATGGATAATTAATGTTTTTAATTATTTATATTATTTTAATATTAATATTAATATAATGATATAATCTCAGCTAGAGGACAATACATGAATCCACTGACTCATTAGTTGGTTTAGTAAAATAATGTTAGATATGCATTTTTAAGTACAGTGGAAGATTTGTTGCAGCGTTAGAGCGCCTTCCTTCCAGGTGATTAAATCCCCATCTTTCTTTGACTTTTGTTATTACAATTAATATAATAACCTTTATCCTGTCTTGAAGCATGGAATATATGTTTTAACTATTCAAGTGGTACTATAATTGCATGCTTTTATATATTTATTATTGCTTACAGACCATGGAATTCCTTGTTATTAAAGCACACTGAATCCTCTTTGATGGAGAAACTTTGAGGTGTATCTATTACAAAATGCAATTTTTCTTTTTCTATTATTCTTTTTATATGTTATATATATACATATAAAGAAAAACAATATTGCATGAGACGGCTTCTTTGGTCTGACTTTTCTTTTCTTTTCTTTTCTTTCTTTATTTTATTTTATTTTTTATTGACCTTGGTGTATTTTTTGATACTGTTCTTGATTATTACAAAACTAGTCCATCCTGTTTTGAGATGCAATGATCGTTGGAAACCATAGAGTTTACTATATAAGGAAGAGAAGCCAAGCAACTACAAGGTGTATCAGAACTACTAAACTAAACAAATATCCTTTTTCATTTTTCACTCGCATCAAGATAGATGGAAAAGGAAACCTCTAACGTCTTTTCTTCCACATTAGATGGAGAAAATTGCCATTCTGCAGAATCCTGTGTTGAGAAGAAACTCAAACTATTTGGTTTCGAATTAAACCCATGCAGAAATGAAGAAAGCTACCCGAAAGGTTGTGCAGAAGGAGATGAGAGTGTAAATTCATCGAATACTGTTTCACATGAAGGGGAAAAGCCTGTCATGCATAAAGATTCAACAAAAGAACCTGAAGACAATAAGAAGTTTGAGTGCCAATATTGTTTCAAGGAGTTTGCGAACTCACAAGCTTTAGGAGGTCATCAAAATGCTCATAAGAAAGAAAGATTGAAGAAGAAAAGATTGCAGCTTCAAGCCAGGAAAGCCAGCATCAGCTGTTATCTTCAACCTTTGCAGAACAACCTGAGTTACAACAATTCGACTCAATGGTTTTATGATCCTTCTTGTTGTTCTCCTGAATTCTCACTCTACGAGGAGTCTCAGATTAGTTTCACTCCTTATGATCAAGATTCCCATATTAATACTGGGTCTCAGTTATCAAAGTGGTATGGTATGGGTATTCCTGCTCAGGCTCCTTTTCAACAGGAAAATTGTATGTTCACCTTAACACGTGCTGATAGATCCAGAAATAGCAGGAATGTAATTAGGAAGCCTTCAGCTTTGCCTGCTTCCAAACAAACCTGTAAATCTTTGGATCTTCAGTTAGGACTTAGCTTGCAATCGAATATTCGAAGCTCGACACCTTTTCCTTGAATTCTCAATTAATGCTACACAAGAAAATTCACAGTCAAGATTTCGGTCGATGACATTAACAAGATTTTACTTGGAAAATTCAGACATAATGTCATTTGTATACATCATTCAATTCCATCGTATGAAATTAATCATACAAAAAATGTTGTATTTACATACTGAAGGAGACGTACAGATTAGATGGCGAGACTGAGACAATTTCAGTTTGTACAGTTTCTTGCCTGATAATTAAAAGCTTTGCTATAATTTTAGCAGTTGAGATTTATCAGGAACTAAGATATTAATGTATTCTAGTTACAATTATTCATTTAAGTTTACTTACAATTATTTGACTATGTAAATTCTGCAAATTTCCTGGACAAATGAGAAAATACATAACCAATATTACTATTTTAATTTATTGTTGATTCGAGTTTGATGAGTTTTGGTTGCCAAGGCATCTGTTGCAGGAAACTTCCAGGCTCAGATGTTTTTCTTTCTTTCTGCTCCTGTCTTGACATTGCACATCTTGAAACATAAATGATTCCAGGTTTTTCTTATCTTGTTTTTTCTCATACTTTTGTGGAAAATTTTGGTCATACTCATTCTTTTCGTGCGCAGGCAAGATTACTAAATCGGTAAACGGGTTAACCGTTTGAATTTTAAATGCACCGAAAGTTTTTTTTTTTTAGCAGTGGAAGAATTCAAACCTGGATCTATTATAATGTCCTATATATATTTATTGTTAGATCATGCGTTGATGTATTATGTGTCTCTTTTGTGCAGATACAAAGAAAAATACATTTTTAAACTTGTCAAGAAAAAGAAAACTAACTTTCAAAGATACACTTGTAATTCAGGAAAAGTTTGTGTAGGTTAAAGCTTAAAATTGAACCAAATTTATTTAGTTTTATTTTTCGATTTCGAAATTTGATTTAATCAGTTTAATTTGATTTATGATTTAGGTAACTTCAATTTCCCATTTTCATTTTGCTGAGAGAAAATTAATCAAATTTATTCGAAAATAAAACTAAACCAATCAAATTGAACCAATTTAATTTGTTTATATAATGTAATTTGATTTCAGTTGGATTTTAAAAGGTGGAGTTCATTGTTATTAGTGATCTATTGCACACGATAATTATTTTTGAATAAAATTAAGTTAATCATCTTTGCAATTACCTATAAATTACATTAAAGAGTATGATCATAATTTAAAGCTAAAAGTTCAAAGATAATAAAAAATGGAACAAATGTCAAAAGAATAAACATGTTACTAGAAAATGTGGATTCACACATCCAACATGTGTGGCTCATGTAATTCACATTTAACCATGTAACTTTTTACCTTTTTTTTTTAGAAAAAAATAAATAAATAAATATAATGGGCAAACACTTTAATGCATGATTAGATTGAAGCAAAATATATATAATGGTGCAATGTGAGTAACAAAGAATAATTCTTCATTTGGTGCTCTAACGCTATAGCTAGAGAAGAAGAAGAATATTAGGTCTTGATAATTAAAAGTGCTTCCACTTTGTAACCCATCATGCACTTCTATTCTATGACCTAAAAATTAATTTATTTTATATAACCGCATCATGCACTTCTATTCTATGACCTAAAAATTAATTTATTTTATATATATATTATATATATATATATATATAATATATAATATATATATATATATTTATGAATATATTGCTCTTGTCAGCCACTTAGTTTTTATTTTCCAAAGTGCAAACCAACTAACTCTTACCCTAAAAATTTTAGAATATCAAGATTCGGGCTTTGACCTATTCATTTTATTGGATAGGATTGGACCGACCTCCTAATTAAATTCTTAAACCAAGAATCCTAATCTTTCTTATAATATAAATGTTTTTTCCATCAAATAACGAATCTTTAAGCTTTTTTTTAAAAAAAAAATAATTCACTAAAAAAAACATTATTTTAGAAATAATATTGGATTTTTTCCCTTGAAGATAATCTTGACCGATATAAATCTTTATATTAGCAATTGGTCCTTTAATGAATCTTTATATTAGCAATTGGTCCTTTAATGAATCTTTATATTAGCAATTGGTCCTTTAATGAATCTTTATATTAGCAATTGGTCCGCAATTGGTCCTTTAATGAATCTTTATATTAGCAATTGGTCCTTTAATGAATCTTTATATTAGCAATTGGTCCTTTAATGAATCTTTATATTAGCAATTGGTCCTTTAATGAATCTTTATATTAGCAATTGGTCCATTAAATCTTTATAATAGTAATCTTTATATCTTGACCGATATAAATCTTTAATCATCCATTAATGAAATAATAATAATAATAATAATAATAATAATATATAGTGTTGTTTTGCATAAGAACTACTTGCTCGTGTGAATAAACTTTTTCTTTCTTATATTTCTTAATTCCTTTTCCATGTCGAGCATTTAAAATGTATATACATCATAATGGATAATCTCTTTCATTATTATTGGTTTGAGTGATTATTTTTCTTCCTCGTCTTCTTCTTCCTACAGTTCAAACTTGTGCTGATGACTTCTTCCACAGAATATTGGATTATCTGTTAAATTAGTCTATTTAGAGAGATTTGTTTTTCTCCGTTGTGCTTAATTAATCAAGATTAGTATGCGCCGAATAATGAAATATAATATTCTGACGATCAAATTTAAAATTCATATTAAGAAAATTCAAGTTGGAAAATTAGAAGATTAAAAAAAAGAGTTTACGTTTATATATCTAATATTTCAAATAAAATAATTTCATATTGGACGAGTCTATTAATTAGTAACACGTTTCAAAACAAAATCATTCAAAAAATTGTTACTTGTTGTGTAAAACTTAATCCTTAATTAGAAGATCTTTAATGGACTCAATGACCCTAATTAATCTGTAATTATAAATAATTAATAATTTTTACATTACGTAGCATGAGAGGCTTATATACCTAAATTTAAGACACCTAACGTGTATTATTTGAACATTAAAAATACAAAAATGTCACATGTACAAGGAAATACATCAATCTTTTATCCTTTGTCATTTGTTGAACATTCTTTGTACTTAGACATTTATCCATAAATTAAATTTATTATTTGTTTTAATTAGCTGGTCGTAATTGATTGATATAATAAATAAAAATAGTCAAGTCATTTTTTAATTATACATGTCTATTTTATATTCAAACCCATACATGTTAGTTTATATTTAAATGTTCCAAGTCATTGTTAATTAGTAATTAATGACATTAAGTGAAAATTATTAATCATGGCATGTGGCGTATTATTATGAACATAATCAATTTTAGATTAATTTTTAGTAGTTGAGTGAATTCTGGCGTGTTGTCTCCACCAAGCAAAGGTTAATTAATCTTAATCTACTTGCAAATTGCAATCTATATACTATTGATTATAATAATTATCTTCGAAGAAATATTTATTTTATATATATCTTGCATTTTTGTTTTGTCGTATTGGATTATGTTATATAATTAATTACTTTTTAATATAATATGTTAATATCATAAATGTTGTACTCATAAATGTTGGTTGAGTATAGTTTGCAACGTTGAAGGACTAGCTTTTTCTAAAACAAATTACTAAATTCAATTTATCTTTCTATCAATAATAGAAATTAAGAAAAAAAATTTTGTGCCATTTGTAAGTCAACTTATTATATCACATGATATGAAATTAGAATATTGATTAACATTAATTAATAAGCGATCGATATACTTTTAAAATAAATTATATTTAATAAAATAATATTACATCAGATGTTACATCATATTGATATTGATATGAAAGTAATTGTTTTCTTAACTTAAAAAAACTTGTGAAAGAGTAAAATCGTTAATTTAGGATTTTATTTTAAAATCAAAACTCAAACTTAATGAACAAGGTTCCTTTACCCATGTGATTAACTTTGAGATTTGGATTACCTCATTTATCACGAGAAGGTTGATTATTTAATTGATTTTTAAGAACACTTTGGGTTTAAGATCTATTGTTGGGCCTTATCTAGTGTCCAAACATAATAATGGCCCATTCCTTTTGTGGGCTTGCAGATTCATGTCCATTTCTTAATTCCAATTGGGAATTTTGGGATCATTGCTTGGTGTTGGTAATAAGAAGTGAAATTAATTAACAAAAAACTAAAAAAAAAATGAAGTAATTACTTTTATTGCAAGAAGAACAATGAAGTACTTGGAGTTATATCTTTGTCATTTGATGATAAACACAGAAAATGAGATCATATGTAGAGCTTGGTTAGATGTTGGGTCACCTTTCTTGTACCAATTTCAAGGCAAAAATACTGTTCATGAGTCATTCTCAAAGCCCTTTTATCAATTCAAGACTACACAACAAAATTAGATAACTCCACCCCACATGCTATTTGCTTGTTCTTACTCCTTTTCCCCTTCTTTATGTTTCCTTCATCTCATAATTTCATTATCAAATAAAGTTTTAATCATCAAATGATTTATTTAAGAGAATCAAATTCTTTTAGGATTTCTTTTTCTGAGTTATTTAGACTCGAATTGAAGATTAAATTTATAATTTTAATTATCTATAACGAATCATGTATTGTTAAAGCAAAAGCTCATCGGTTAATATATTATGTCTTTAATAATGAATTTTAATAAATATATTGTTGATAATTTGACTGGGTAGATTTAAATATGCGAAAAAAAAGAGAGAAAAACTTAACAAGAAACCCGTATTTATAAATTTAGTGTTAAAATATATGAGGATATATTGATTGAGATGACGAATGTAGTAATAATTATTACTATTTTTCCCCTTCTTTAGTAACATGCAGTTCAATTCCGAACTGCAAAAAATTGAAAATAGAATTTATTTAAAATCAATCCAAACCGAAATAAATTTAAAAATCGAACCAAATTGGTCGGTTCAGTTCGATAGATATCGATTCAATTTTATTTATAAAATAAATATTTTTAAATAACCGATTCAAAGACCAACAATTGAAATTGTGAAAGATTACAAACCGAAATGAAATCAAAAATCAAATGACCGATCAAAAATAGAAAATAATCTAGTTCAGTTTGGTTTTTGATTTTTTTCCAAAGTTTGATCACCCCTATTCTCTAGGATATATCTTTCTAATGTGAAACTTCTTTCATGTTGGATTATATTAGAGGTTGATTAATTGATACTTAAATATTAATTAGGTGGGCTTCGTGATGCGGTTTACCCGTTTATTACTACGAATTTTGATCCTGGTGTTGGAGTCTTTTATGTGCAGGATTTGTTGTTAAATGGAGGGTGGAATGAGCAGTTGATACGGAGGATATTTAATGATCGAG